TTTTAATTGCTTCCTTCATGCTAACCTAACAAGTTTCAGGAGAAAATGTTCAACAGACATTGCCTAGTAATATATACTAAAATTTTTATTTATTTTTTTTTTCAAAAAATAAACAACAACTGAGGGGCTGGAGAGATGACTCAGTGGTTAAGAGCACCGACTGCTCTTGCAGAGGACCCAGGTTCAATTCCCAGCACCCATATGGCAGCTAACAGCTGTCTGTAATTCCAGTTCAAAGGGGATCTGACACTTTCTTCTGACCTCGTTGGTGATTGCATGACACGGGTGTATCTACCCACATGCAGGCATTACACTCATACACATAAAATACTACTACTACTACTACTACTACTACTACTACTTACTAATAATAATAATAATAATAATAATAATAAAAGTAATGAATTAAATAGGCCAAATTGTTCATTTTTTTCTGGGTAACATAAACATAACCTACATGGCTGGAGTGACCATAGATCTTAGAGAAAACCCAAGACTATCACATCGCTGGACTAATGTGATTTCTTACTATCTGCAAAATATGTATCCTTATATTATAGACAAATATCCTAGTCACCACGCACCAAAGAAGCCCCTTTCGCACCAGAGACTATAACAGTTTCTAGTTCCATCCATTTACCTGCAAATTTCATGGTTTCATCTTTCTTTACTCCTGAATAGAACTCCATTGTATAAATGTATCACATTTTCATTATCCACTCGTCAGTTGAGGGACACTTAAGTTGCTTCCATCTCTTAGCTATTGTGAAAAGAGCAGCAACAAACATGGCTGTACAAGTGTCTCTACAATAGGATGAGTCCTTTGGGTATATGCCAAGGAGTAGTATAATTGGGTGAAATGGTAGGTTCATTTTTAGTTTTTTAAGGGTTCTCCACACTGCTTTCCATAGAGGTTGCACAAGTTTTCAATCCCACCAGCAGTGGATGAGCATTCCCCTTTCCCCACATCCTCTCCAACATTTGGTATCATTTGTTCTCCTGATCTTAGCTGAACACTTTTTAAGATATTTCATACCCATCTTTATTTCTTCTTTTGAGAAGTCTCTGTTCAGATCCATAGCTCATCTTTTATTTGTGTCATTTGTTTTCTTCTTTGTTTTTTGAATTCTGGGTATGTTCTGGATATTAATCCTCTGTCAGTTGTATAACTAGTGAAGATTTTCTCCCACTCTGGGTTTTCTCTTCACTTCCTTGGTTGATTCTTACACTGAAGTTTTGTAGTTTAATGAGGTCTCACTTGTTGATTGTTGACCTTAATTCCTGAGCTTATGATGTCTGATTTAGAAAGTCTTTTCCTGCACCTATATCTTGTAGGACACATCTACAATGGAACCTCTACACCCAAGGCTCAAAGAACATAGTAGAACAAGGGGTAGAGAGAATATTAATGCACCTCTCAACTCTCATCAATGAAACTCCCTCATGCAGCAGAGGGCCATGAACACGAAAGGCTACAACTGACCAATGTGTAGAGAATAAGAGACTGCAGAGGGTGGGTCTCTGGACAGGACTCCTATTTTAAACTTCACTCTCCCAGGGCTCAGGGACCATTGTGGAAGAGGAGGCAGAAAGGTGGTAAGAGTGAGGGCAGGAAGTGCATGAAAATGCATGATGGAAACAGGGTCTTAGAGGTTATTGGGACCTTGCTCATATAGATCTGCAGCAATGGTGTCAGCATGCACAAGACCCATGCAAACTCTGTTAGACAAAAAAAGCAGCATAGAACTGGGAGAATGGGCAGGAGGGCAGCTGATCACTGTGGGTGAGGGAGAGTTGGTCTTTTTTAAGGGACTGAAGCTCTACAGGCTGTACAGGCTCCAGTGGATGAACTCACACTGAGGGACATCTGGATACACAAACTTGACTTGCTAGGCCTTAACATATATGACAAAATGAATGAAGTCTTGTGGGTGAGCTATAGGGGTGGTATGGACAGGAAAGGGGGGGTAAAGATCATTAAGAATTATTGCATGAAATCCACAAAACTTAAAATATATTTTAAAATTTCAATTATGTAATAGCTCTCTGTGTGTATGTGGTGTATGTATATGTGTGTGTTTGTCCATTCAATTCCTCCAGCAGGCCAACAATCTTCTACATCCTCTTCTTGAAACCTTAGAACTAAGCTTCCCTCATGGTAAAACCACACTGAAATGTTCTTACCTGTCACAGGCATTCTTTTAGAAATCAGAATCACTCACTTAGGATTTTTTTTCTCAGAAATAGCTCCTCATTTCTATTATTTAGAAATGTTTTATAATTTTCATAAAAACAATTAATGTTATATAAATATAAATGTTATAAATAGCATGTTTCTAAGTCTATAGATTATACTGGGCAAGTTTAGCAGTCGGTAGCAGTGTGAACAGAAGGCATGCATAGGTTAACTATAGTTACATCTCTTTTAATGTGGGCTTGATCCTCTGTCATTAAGCCATTTTAAGACTGGCTGTAGACATCCAAAGAACAGCAGCTTGATTTTGCCATTCTTAGAACCTCATTATAAATGAAAACTGAGAATATTTTGTGCAGAATTTTGAAAATCAGTGTTCTCTTCATCCTAACTGGTAAGCAGAGAGATAGTCCTGGACGGACTTGTTGAAAGGGTAACCACTTCAGTGTTGCACAGAGGAACATCCCTCAGGAGTCACTGGTGAGCAGGTGATTATCTAGCACATGAGCTTCTGAGTCTGTGCTGGGCTCTTACTTCACGTGACCATGTCCTCTGTCATAGCCAAATTAATGGGTCTGCTCTTTCTCAATTAAATTTCTTTCTTAATATTGCTGCCACTAGACTAACCGGGCAAATATCCCAAGCCTCTGTAAGAACTTACTTTCTTGTGTGTGCATTTACTCAAACAGACTTGCCAGTTTAGGAGGACCGTGCAATCGAGGCGATATACAGCGCAACCCCCCTTTGACTTATTTACAAGCTCCATCAGGGCGCAGACCCAAGACAACTCTGACTCGCTTCAGTGCCAGAACTGGATCCATATTTGTTTAACAATGAAAAACCACATCTCATGTTGCTATTGTTTCTCCCACAATGGTAGATAGTTAAAGAGATATTTATGAAGTGATGGGAATGTTTTAAGAAGTACCCAAAGTTCAAGACTGATTTACTCATTCATCTTCTCATTCTGCCCCCTGGAAAAACAGGCTGTAAATACCGATGATGTGTGAACCACAGACTCCAGGTGAAAAATAATCGCTCTGGATTTTTCCTTTCCCACACTGAGCCCCTCCTACACTGAGCCCCTCCCACACTGCCACCAGTTTCACATCCTAAGTCTTAACCAAACCCTAGCATAAGTCAAATTTCTTGTGAAATCACTAGTACTGAAATATATTTACATACTTTTCTTATTTAACTCCAGAAAGATGGTAATAGAATCAAGCAAAACACACTTACTTCCTATTTAAATCATAATTTTGAAAGCATTTCTCAATACTGTTTCTCCAAACTAGAAATCATTTAATTTTATCCTTTGATTCTGGGAGCTTTAAAGAAAAGGGACATTCTAAATCATAGATTTTATTTATCTGGACCCTGTCTTTTTCAAAGGAAATAATTGATGGTACTGACTCACAAAGAAACCATTGTAAAGGCAGTAGGTAATTTTGAGTGATTAGACTTCATTCATCTGAGTTTATTTGCTTTTTGGAATAGGAATCAAAGAAAAAGTTTCTCTGAGGCAATGTGTAGACTTGTTTAGACTTTCGAAATGGCTGAAATTTGACATAGTAAGGAGCTTTGCACCCTTGGGGAGGATCTCTTTGCATTGAAACAAGGACATGCAAATGCATAGTAAAGGCAAGGACAGTATGGATGAAACAGCTGAACAGAGCAGCCAGAGAGTTTCATCCCATCCCCCCAAACACAGAGTCGGAGGTCTCTTTGAGATTCAGGAAAGAGTTTGCAGGAGCAGTTTAATAAATACCATCCACTTCCAGAAACAGACCATGGGGGTCCCATTAACAGTAACATGTCCAAAAGTTTTTATTTTTAAAAGACATCAAGAGAAATCACCGTCAAGTGCCAAATTCACTTGTTCAAGGAACTGGGATATTTTATAATAAAAAATGAAGTAGAAGCCAAAAATGAACCAACGTCAATTCCGTTGTAGATGGATCCTAGGCCTAATTCAGGCAAGCAGTATGTTTCAGTCAGATCTAGTTCCAGTCTGTCCAGTTAGATCTAGTTCCAGTCTGTCCTTTCTCCGGCTATGGAGTCCTAAGATAGCCCGTGATGGATGGCAGATCACTTTGGCTCCCTTAATATTAATAAAAATTTAATAGTTCTAAAATTGTTAATGTTAAATATCTTTTTTCATTCTTTTGTCTAATTAGTAAAGTAATCCTGGTGCCTATATTCCCATATATATAAAAGGATTAAGTGATGGAAATTTACTATTTAACTGAATAGATACACTTTTGCTTATTTATATTTTTATTTATTTTGGTCTTTTGAGACCCTATAGCCCCAGCCAGAGGTTGCCTAAAATGCTATTAATCAGTTGATGGGCAATGTGATCAAAACCTAGGTGAGGTTGGTTATAGTCAAGTAATTTTCTTTTCCTAACAAAAACAACTCTGAACTGGGCACTCTAATTTGTCTTGAGGTTTTCATGTGAACTTTTCATTACTTACCCCATCCAAAAATTTGTGGACAGATAAGAACCAAAATTTTATACCATGTGACATATTCAGATATGTGCTTAGCTTCACACAAGATAGATGTTACAGAGTGTTTATGATCTTTTAAAAGCTTATAAGGTTTGCCTTTAAATGCTCCCTTAAAATAGCATTTTCTTTGTCAATGTGAATAGCCAAAATACAGAAAAACGAAGGAGGCTTCTGTCATGCCCAGGAGCTCACCTGGGCCTCATGAGCAGCTCATTCATGAACGTGTGTGTGCTTGGCACACTGCGTGATTTCTCCATGCCCTGACTCAACACTTACCAATTCCTGTCTCCTAGATGACACAGGCTGTCCCAGCAGCCAGTCAGTATCCCCTGTGAAGACTCCCTCGGACTCGGGGCACAGTCCCATTGGCTTTTGCCCTGGAAGTGATGAAGACTTTACCAGGAAGAAATGCAAAATTGGAATGACTGGTGATGGAAATGCCCAGACAGCTCGATATAAGAAGGAATCAAAGGGAGGCATCATGAAGCCTGGTAAGTGGCCTTACTGTTTTGCCTGTCTTATCAGAACAAAGTACCTGAAGAGATTTCCCATTGGAAATATGACATCTGTCTATCAAGCCAGGGATGACTGTCCTGCACCCAGTACCTAGAAATATTTTTAAAGAGGGTAACATGTAGAACATATTTAATATGATAACTGCTAGTAATTAAATACAGTAATGTATCCATTATAAAGGGAGGTTTTGTGGGGGGGGGGGCATTTCTGGAGAGATGGCTCAGCAGCTGCTATTTTAGAGGGTTCCCAGCACCCACATGGTGGCTAACAACTGTCCATAATTGCATCACACAACTCAGATTCACTTATACACATGCAGGCAGTACACTCATACACATAAAATTTGAAATGTTTAAAAATAAATGGGCATTTTTTCATGGAAACACATAAGTGGGGTGGTCTAACAGCCATTTAAACTCTATAATCAATTCTAACCTAAATCATAGATTATAAAATTAAAATATATTACTTGTTATCACCTAAAGTAGCCTCAAATTTAGAAGAACCATTTATCATACCAATCTATGCAGTGAGGCATAGTTACTAACTTAGATAATTTATTTTATTTTAGAGATTTAAAGGTTAATAGGGTGCTTTGTGTATACATTCTTATCTGTTTCTTCAATGATTCCAGATGCTATATGATGAAATGTATAAGTATTGCACATAATATGAATGAGATGCCATGTGCTTAAAAGAAAAGGTAAATTTTCAGAACCTACAGTATGTAAATAAGTATTTTGTATCTCAGAAATGTAAACAAATACAGTTTTAGAAAAAGTATTGTGATAACATCAAATAAAAAGGACAAAAAAATTAGCATTTGGAGACATCTACACTACATTCTTTTCTTTGACATCCTCAGTTATACTATAAACACATGCATGTGTGCACAAGGGCACACACACACACACTCACTCACTCACTCACTCATGGGCATGCTCAGAGACTCATCTCCTAGGTCATTCTAGATCTCATCAAGTTGACAGCTAGGATTAACCATCACAGAGAGAGAGATAATTCACACATCAGAAATCCAGTTATTTCAAGTGTATAATTTAGTACTTTTAATCTGTTCAACTGTTGTACAAATATCACCATTATCTTTCTGTAAAAATGTCTTATTACCCCCCAAACCAAACCTCATATCCTTTAGTTGCTTCTCTGAGCTCCCTTCTCCTCAGTTTTCCACATCTAAGAATCCACTCTGTTTCTCTCTGAATTGGTCTTTCATCAGACAAGTGGAATAGAACATGTGACCTTTCATGTACGGCTTCTTTAAGATTAATGTTTTCAAGGCTCATCAGTGTCACATGCTTGGGTACTTTGTTCCTTTATATGCCTGAATGATATTCTATTGCATGGAAATTCCCACTTTAAAATAGACTTTTAAAATTTTTATTGATTTATTTTATGTATCTGAGTTTGCCTGCATATATGTAAGTACAACTGTGCATGCAATGCCCATGGAGGCCAGAAGAGGGCGTGGGGTCCACTAGAACTAGAGTTGTTATCCCACCATGTGGCTGCTGAGAACTGAAGTTTTGTTCAAGAACAGCCAGTGCTCTTAACTGCTGAGCCATCTCTCCAGCCCCTAAAATAAACTTTTCAAAAAGCAGATTTAAGCTGGGCATGGTGATACACACTTTTAATCCCAGCACTTGAGAGGCAGAGAGAGGCAGGCAGATCTCTGTGAGCTCAAGGGCAGCCTGGTTTACACAGTGAGTTCTAGCCTCCCTAGGACTGCATAGTGAGTGACCCTGTCTCAAAAACAACTAAAAAGGCAATTTTTAGATTTGCAAAAAATTGAGTGGCGAGTACTGAACATTCACGCATACCACCTCACTACTGCTACATACTACTTCCCCTCACATTAATATTTTTGCATTAATGTGGTAATATACTACACTTGGTTATTCCTTTCATGAGCTCCTGGACATTTGGGCTATGTCTCCATTTTAACTATTATGAATAATGATTCTATGAACTTTGTATACGTATTTCTGTGGGAACATGTTTTCAGTTCTTTTGGATATATAATTAAGAATAAAATTGCCTGGTCATGTGGTAACTGTTCATTTTTTTTAAGGAACTACCAAATTGCTTTCCAACAAGGCACTTTGCATTCCTGCCAGCAATATATGAGGGTTCTAATAACATTGATTGTAGCCTACCTGTATTTTAAAACAATCTGTTCTGTCTTGGTCTGTTATGTGTTGTTACAACAGGATACCTGAGATGTGGTAATGCAGAAAGTAATGTATTTATTGCAACTTGGGAGGCCAGGAAATTCAAGGTAAAGAGCCCACATCTTTCCAGGGCTTTATTGCTATGGTGTAATATGGTAGAGAGTAGCCCATGTGGAAGAGGGGATGTGTATTAGCCCAGGGGTCTCTTATCTCTTTCTTACAGCCCATTGTAGGGCATATAACTACAGTTAATAAAAAATGATCATATGCACAAAATATCTTCAACTATGTCTACATTTTCACAGATCTATTGAGGCATATGAATCCTAATTTAATGATCTTTGCCCAAAGGCAAAGCTAAAGACAAACCTTTATGAACTGCTTCTGATTTAATTGTTCATAGCCATAAAAATCACCTATGCAATCCTTTTAAATTTTAATGTATTTTTATATATTTGTTATTTTTGTTTTATGTGTATGAGTGTTTTGCCTGCATGTATGTAAGTGGCAATGCCTTCAGAGACCTGAAGAAGGTGATGAATCCCCTGGAACTGGAGTTATGGACCATTATTTGCTGCCATGTGGGTGCTGGGATCTGAACCCAGGTCCTCTGCAAGAGCAGACAGTACTCTTAACTGCTGAGTCACTTCTCCAGCCCCACTAAGCAATCTTTAACTGTTTTTTTTTTTTAAATTATTATTCACTTGTTTTTACCTAAGGTAAAGAAATCCTTAAATTTTTGAGTATCATTATTGAATAAGTCCCAGCCACATTTCCATGAAGCCCAGTTCTATACAGTAAGCTTTTTGTATGAGAAAAATCTATATCATGACCTGTTGTCTCTCAACTTTTGGCAGAATAAACCTGTCTATCTCATAAACATGAGGAGAGGAAATCCAGGAAGCAAGGCCCTTGGATGACTCTAACTTTTCTAAAATGCAGAGACACGATGTGTTAAAACATAAGAAGGTCCTGCTCTCAGGTCTTAAGTTATCTGCTTCTCCACAGCCCCATGGGACCCTCTCCCCTTAAGCCGAAGCTGATCTTCCCCTCTAGATCCATGTTCTACTTAAAAAAAAAAAAAAAAAAAAAAAAGTCAACTCATTAAAACCAATACCAGTTTATTAAAATAGTAAGCAATTACTGGCTATTGCATGGGGACTCAGAGACTCTAACATTAAGTAATCGAGTCCATCTAATTTTAGGTCCATTGCTCTAGATTCTGGAACGCTGCTGTTCACCTCAGAAAGGGAGTCATTGAAATGCCCCTGAGGTCAGTAAGACAAAGGACTAATAATGACCACTGGGTCTGTGATGCAGACAGAGAAGGGAAATACGTTACAGGATGCTGGGAAGGGTTTGGAAAGATGAGCCAAATAGCTCAAGACTGTTCCTTGCCAAGGGCCCCCACACTGAAATCTTCCTTGTACAAAAGGTGCACACAGCAGGAAAACCTTTCTGCCAGGAAGGAACTCCTTCTGGAAACTTCTGGGAGGCCATGAGCCTTCTGTCACTTTGGCTTCTGTCACTTAAAACCTGTTTAGATTTAATTAAAAATGCCAATAAATAGCAAAGGAAAGCATTCCCAGAGTCCAGTTGGATGATGTCTTTGTGTTTTTCAGTTTTCCTTTTATTCCCATTTCTGCAAAACATTGAAGGCTACATCTCTGTTATGAGCTAGATATCCAGTGGATGCTTAATGGGAAATGGACTGTTCTTTGTACAAGGAAGACTTCAATGTGGGGAAACACAGGAGCAATGAGCCAGTGTGACCTCGTTTGGAGGGAGTTTGTAATTTAAGGCAGCCGTGTACTGGATGATAAATCTGGATGATAGCACGGATCAAAAGGAAAGGAATGCAGGCCTTCCTCCCTCTGGAGCTTTCTGAGGAATCAGGTAGTTACACTCCTTCCCAGAAATTGCCTGCATGCCTTGTGCAGTCATTTTCTTCACAAGACCCTTTTACCTAGAAAAGAAAGCCCTAATTGGATTTCTGCAAGTCCATTAAAATATTCCTGAGCCTCTTCTAGTGCTTGGGTCATTACCTGGAGAGTATCTTAACCCTGGGAAGAAAAAGATCCACTGTATTGTTTTACAAATGGAAGCACTAAATTCTTTGTGCACAAGGCTGCTTGGAAAGATGGAGCACAGTTACACAATTTAAACAAATAATTAGGAAATATGAAACGAAAAAAACCACCAGAGGTAACTAAGGAGGTAAGTAAAGGGCATGGCTAGGGTCACCTTAAGGGAAAAGAAACCACCTTTAGAAGCTGAAATGTTGAAATCTGCATTTGAAAGATGTCACTGTATCTCCTTAGCACTTAATCCAAGTTGGTATTCCCTTGTTATCAGATAGCACCCAGCAACTGAAATTAGAGATCTGGCCAGCTGAACTATAATAACCTTGCCTAGGATTGGTTACTTCTAGAAAAAACAATTTCCCACATCCAAGAGACATTTGCTAGAAAACCCAGAAGGTACCAACTAGGTTAGTGATTAATCAGCATTGGTTCCCTTAAGAGAGCCTTTCACACGGTCACAGCCCAGAATGTTGCTTGTTATCATGAGCATCATTTCTACCTCAGGAGTAGTTCTGCTAACAGCTTGGTTAGCTTACTTGAGAGTCTTTTCTTATAAAACCTACTACTACTAGTAGTAGAGCTACTAGTGCACCAGATTCATACTCTGGAGTCAACACACCAGGTTCAGTCACCTCTTTGTAACTGTTTTTTCCCCTTTGTAGCCCAGGCTGACCTTGAACTCACAGCACCCAAGTGCTGGAA